GTGTTGAGACCATTGTGAGACTTTATTTAAATAGCTAAATCGACCAGCTATCAAAAACTTCAATGTCATCAGCATTCCAGATTTTGTTGCAATAAATCTTGCAATTGATTTGTAGAACATGATCTGAAAATCAACTTTCGTGATTCTTTATATATTTCCATATAAGGGCTTATGTATCAGGACAAATTTCATAAGCATAGAAAATATCCGAATAGCCTAGCAATAATCTCATTTTCAAAGCGAATATCTTATCAATTTCTAACTTTCTAGAAAGGGCCAAAAGTTAACCAAATCAAATTTATTCAAATAAGAAACCTTTCAAAATATATATATTGCAGCAAATTAATTTATAAAACAAATATTATGCAGTAAATCAAAGATCTCATAAATTTTTAACTTCCAAAAACATCAAAAGTTGACTTTCTCCAAATCAAATCAATTAGATTGATCCTAAACAGTTTCGAAATAAACTGAACTTTTCCAAAACATATTAATAACTGCCATTCAAACTTTAATAAGATTAATCACCAAAACATGCCCAAAATAATGCCCAACACCAAAAATTAATTTAATCCAAAATTCCCAACAGGTTAGTATTCCTTTTCATGCACAAGAAAATTGGGATTGTAATTTGTTGAATCTCAAGTACTAAATGGGTTGCAACTTTTTGAACGCCAATACCTACTGCAAAAGTGGCATAGCTTTCTGCACAAATTGGCGTGCATGCAACTCTAATTATTTTCTGTCTGTGATCCATGGTGCCTCCCAAATCCAAGACATGAAGAAAGAAATAGCCAAGGATAAAAGTTAATTACTTCACCAGAGGCATACGACACTAATGACTTCTGACTCCTAGGAATTATTCCAACGTGATCGTTAAAAAAAATAATAATAATCAAACTTGGTTTTGCTAAGGACACATCTATGTGGACTTCATACTTGACCACAACAAGAACCAAATGAAGGCATAAGTGGAGTAAATCAAATCCTATTACTGATTACAAAAGGTATGGCAAAATTCTAAAATGTATGGCAAAATTCAAATTATGGGGACTTGCATGCATGGAAAGCCAAGCACTACGGGAAGGCATAAAGCCTCGTCCTAAAGCATGCAGAGAAACCGAAATGGTTAATTTGATTTCCTCAAATTAAAGAAGCGGCCAGTTGCAAAAGAGCAACTGATGCAATATGATGTCTTATCAAAGTGGACTTCAAATCCTATTTCACAAAAATACAAAATTGTGAATCAAATCATTCAAAGTGGGATAAATGAGTTTAATTCAAGACAAACTCTAATGATTACAAACGAGTGAACTATGTTGACTTAATTCTGTAAAGGCTACGTAAGCAAGCTATTAAATTAGGTGCGGTTCAAATTTCAAAACAAAATTGTGAAAAATTCTCAAAAGTCCAAAATAAAGTCATTCACTTTAAAATCGTAATAACCATAGTTTGCAGTTATTATTTTTTTTAATATAATTTGTATAAGTAAATTTGGGGTAATATAGTAATTATCACTATCAGAGGGGACGAGAGATTATCAATCCCAGATTTGAGTAGGGTTACGAAAGAAGAGTAGGTTTCTTCACTAGAAGTTTTTTTTTCTTTGATTCGAGTTTCTCTTTTAAGGTAAAAGTTTTACTTTCATTCTGAAGACTCTATAAAATCAAAAGTTAATGAATTAATATGTTAAAATTAAAAGTTTAAGAACCAAAATTTCACTATGCCTTGTTTAGGTACTAATAGTGAAAATAACCCTTTTTAGAAATGGAAGTTGCCGCTGATTGGACGCTATTGAAACTGGTTTTTGAAGGAGATGTCAAGGTGGTTGTGGAAGCATGGTTAGAAGGGAGCTCTAATTGAGATTTAGATTTTATGAAGGTAAAAGATTATGATTCAGAATTATTTTCGTTTTATGTGTGTATTTTGTGAGAAAATATTATAACGAGTCACGAACTATGATTCAAATTATGGTATAAATCTCCCTTCTAGACGACGTGTAAGCGACGTTAGTGGCTTGAGATTATCAGTCATTCTCTTTCAGATGGGTGAGAATGACCGGTAATAATATCTTTTATGATTTTTTTTCCCTAGGATATTATTTATTTCCCCAGCTTTGTATCACTTATTTGACTGTCTTTTTGGCCAGCTTGTGTTGTGCCACATGTTTTCCTTTTTTTTCTTTTTATTATGAATGTTTTTCTTTTAAAAAACCTAGTATAGCAAAATTAAAAGTAAACTATGCAGCTTATTTTTTTGAACATAATTAAAATAACTAAATTTGTCTTGAGTATTTAGTTCCAATCCAAATGATGAGGTAAATTGTTGTTATTTTCCAATAACAAATGTTATTGAATAGACCTGTAAAAAGTTGCCCCCAATCAAGTGAAAATAACAATCTCTTGCTACATCAATCAGTCGTAAAAGCATTATATATAATGCAAAGATAGCTCAAAGATAGCTCCTAATCGAACTGTGCATATGTTGGCTGCTATCTTTGAACCGTCCAAACAGGTTGCCTTTAATGTGTCGCTTTCCTTGTGTACCTACCCAGGCAAATCAAATTCGTGAATCACGCATTGTGCTGCTAATGGTCGGCAAAAGGGTCATGTTCTTTGCGCAAATGTGTTTCGTTTTCTGCAATAGTTTATGTGATATATTTAACTTGTTCGGTTGCATGAATATAAATTTTGAGTTGAATTTAAATTGAAGTTGTAATTTAAGTTTGTATTTGAATGTGTACATTTGAGTTATGATTTAAATTGAGAATTTATTTGAGTTTGTATTTGAGTAAGTCAAAACTTAAATTTGTATTTAAATAGTATTTTAATAAAAACTCAATAGTGATGAAAATTTTTAATAGGGTATATGGATGGAGTTTTATTTGTCTCCTCGTTGTAAACGTATAAAAAAAATCATCTCAATCAGAATTAAAATGAAAAAGTTATAACATTTTTAAGAATAGAATATATATTGTTCATTAATTTGAGTTTGAGTTTAATAACTTGAGTTAAAGGGGAAATTTTTGGGCCCGTTTTTAATTCGAATTGAAATGTGATTTTATCTAACTTGTTTCTGAGAGCTTTTTACTGTAACAAAACTTGAATTCTAAACTCGAATCGGTGAAATGAACGAGATTTTAAACTCATATTTTAGCTCCAAACTCAAGTTCAAACTCAAGTACAAACTCAAATTTTACAAGCGAACATGAACTTGAATAAAGTTGTAACTTGAATTCAAACTTTTTTTGAGTTTTACTCTAAAAGAACAAGCCCAATTTATGTATAAATCATGATTCATGAAAAGTAAATTTAAGAAAACCTTATTGGGGCAATTGCAAGTTACACGAAACACAAATTTTTTAATTTTCGGAGTTGATAAGTGGAGATCTTCTTCAAATAATCATTTCGGTGGGCACAAACACACACTCAGACACCCAACTATTTGAGCTAGCCTCAAGTGGCGATTTGAAGAATAGCATTCAACTTCGGGGAAGGTTGAATAAAATCTCAATAATGATGAAAAATTTTAATAGAGTATATAGGTGGGGTATTATTCGTCTTTTCGTTGTGAACGCATAGAAAATAAAATCATCTTAATCGGAATTAAAACGAAAAAGTTAAGACGTTTTTAATAATAGAAAAAATATTAATTATTAACTTAAATTTAAATTTAAGAACTTGAGTTGAAGGGAAAATTTAAACTCAGATTTTAACCCCAAACTCAAGTTCAAACTCAAGTTCAAACTCAAATTTTACAAGCGAACATGAACTTGAATAAAATTGTAAATTGAATTCAAACTTCTTTTGAGTTTTACTCTAAAAAAACAATCCCATTACGTATAATTCATGATTCATGAAAAGTAAATTTAAGAAAACCTTATTGGGGCAATTACAAGTTACACAAAACACAATTTTTTTATTTTCGGAGTTGATAAGTGGAGATCTTTCAATAATTATTTCAATGGGCACAACCACACTCACACACTCAACTACTTGAGCTAGCCTCAAGTGGCGGTTTCAAGGATAGCATTCAACTTCAGGGAAGGGGGAAAAGGGACCTCAACATTTTTAAAATTTCAAACACATCTCAGAATGCTTAAGGGCCCGTTTAGTTTGCTGATTCGAGTTTTTAATTCGAGTTGAGATGTGACTTTATGTGAGAGCTTTTACTGTACCAAAAAAGTTAGATGTGACTGTTTATGAGAGCTTTTTACTGTAGCAAAACTCGAATTCTAAACTCGAATCGGTGAAGTGAACGGGGCCTAAAAAATCCATTGTTGCCTTAGGCTTAGAAAGCATACTTCTCATCAAGTGTACTGAAAAAAGAAAAAAATGAAGGCTCGCTCTTTCTTTGATCTGTTGTCTAACTGCATCTCCGAATTTCTATCTCTACGATTGCACAACTTGAGAAAAAGACCAATCTTGTTGACAGCAAAAGCCTTTATTCTATAGGAAACAGAACTTGTATATTGATTGCTTAGGGTTCGTTTGGTACGCGAATTCAAATCAAAGTGACTTTAATCACGATTCTAAAATCAAAATCATAATTCATTATTTTGGATTTAAATCATGATTCTAAAACCATGATGCAGAATCATGGGTTTGAATCACTTTGAATCAAGAGAGAGGTGGTTTTAGAATCATAATTTGAGCTAGTTTAAAACATCACATCAGATTCTGAATCATGATTCAAAATCATCCAAACCAAACACTGATTTTGAATCATGATTCAAAATCACTATAAACAAACACTGATTTTGAACCAGGATCCAAAATCATAATTCTTGATCCACAGGCAATTCAAAGCACCGGCCACGGGGTTTTTAAAATCAATCAGTATGCAAGTGATTCTCATAACTAACATCGTCCTTGCCAATGATGTTTCCTTCATAGAAAAAAAAGCCTCATTCGTTTATATCATGAACGTACTATGGCTATCCTGCTTATGAATGATAATTCCTTTCAAAATACTTAAACCATCTTTCACTGCTCCTCTGCCCATCTCATTTTACATTCTCTTCCACTAATTTCCATGTTTGCACAAGATGAGGTCCTCTAGAAAAAAGCGTCTATGTCATCCATCTTCATGGACAAGTATATTGTACAACGTCTCTTATTCATTGTTGAAGAATCCAATTTGGATTTCCATCTTAGGCAACCCGCTACCTGGTTGCAATGTTGAATTGTCGACAAAAGTTAGTTTTCTCGAATTGCGTGGCAACTTGTCAAGAATCCTCCAAGTTACAGCATCTGGGTTCAGTCCATTCCTTCTCATCTCTCTTACTATTTGATAAGCCTCATCTTTCAAACCTAATTTGCAAGCACTGTCAATTAGAATGTTATAACTGAAAATATTTGGAGAGACCCCAGAATCTACAAGTTCATATAGAAAATGACAAGCTTCGCCAAAATTTCCCAAGCGGCAAAGCCCTTTTAGAATAGCCGCATAAACAAAGTTATCATGAACTCTTGAGGGCCAAATAATATCATCCCAAAACCTTTTCGCTTCCTCTATTTGATTGGACTTGCACAACCCATCGATTATTATGGTGTAAGTGGTACTGTCAGCCACTATACCTCTACCTACCATGGTGTTATAAATCTCCATTGCTTCATTTGCTCGCCGAAGTTTGAATAAACCGCGAAGGACTGCGTTATATGTCACCACGCCAGGGTTCACACCATTGTCAAGCATCCCACAATGCAACAAATCCATAGCATCTTGGATTCTTCCAACGTTGAGTAGACCAAAAATGATAGTAGTGTAGGTCATGACATCGGGGGCAGAAAATTTGCCAACCATCATATCATTTAGTACTTTTAAAGCTTCTTCCACTCTCCCCATCTTGCAAAATCCTTTAATAACCGTGTTGAGCGTGATCACATCTGGTTGACACTGACTTTGGAGCATAAAAACAATTACATTCAAAAGCTCAGTCGCATTATTCATCAGACAAAGGGCTCTCAAATATATGTTGTATATTCTAGTTTTGTCGACTCCTTTCTTTTTGAGCATGACTTCAAGGACTTCCTTTGCCTTTAGAAGGTCTGATTTTAAGGAGAGGCATTCAACTAGAACCTTGTAAGTGTAGTCCGACGGGCTATAGCCAAATTCAATTCCTTCTTCTAACAACTGATAAGCCCTCATGCAGCCTCCCTCATTGCATAGTCCATGCACTATCGAATTATATGACACTAAGCACGGAATCAACCCTCTTTTCCTCATTATGTAAACTATTCTCGAAGCTCCATGATGTCTTCCAGCTTTACAAAGAGAATCTATCATCTGTGCATAGGCAAACTCTTCGTTGAGACTGTTTCCTTGAGGCATATCCTCTGCAATCGAGAACACCTCATTGAAAAACCCTTCCCGACACAAGGATTCAACAAGATTTGAGAAAGCCGCATTCTTCACAGACGAGTCGTCCTCACACTTCATTCTCTCCCAAAGCTGGCACATCAATCCCCGCCCTCGCTCAACATCTCTCATCCTCAAAACACAGCGAATCAAAACACTGAACGTGAGGGAATTCGGAGGCACACCTCTCTCAGACATTTCTTCGAACATCTTATGTGCACAGTCCAATTCACCAACTTTACAGTAACCATTTATCAGAGTCGTGAAAGTCACGGCATTCGGACAATGCCCTCTATCCTGCAAATCAAAAAACAACCGATGAGCCTCGGCGACCCTCGAAAACGAGCAGAGCTGATCGATCAAACGGTTGTAATTAACCAAAGACGGCACAAACTCAGGCTTAAACTCAATCAACTTGCGAATAACACGCAAAGTGGCATCTGGGCATTTCGAGCCGAGCAAACGAGCGATAAGAACATTGCAAGTGCGCTCGTCAGGGACACAATTGGAATCAACGGACAGGATCAACCGGTGATGGGCTTCGTCGAATCGATTGGAGTCGCAGAGCGCGTGGACTATACTGCTGAGGTTAAGCGAGTCGGGACGGTAACCGCGGAGGCTGAGACGGTCGAGTAGGCAGAGAGCCTCGTCGACGTTGCGGTGTCGGGTGCAGAGATTGTGAATGGTTTTGGTCCAGTACGACTTGTCGTCCACACTCACTTGTTCTAGAGCAGAAAAAGAGTTGTCTGGTCCGTGATTCGATTGTCGTTTTGGTTGTTGATGTTGTTGTTGAGGATGAGGATGAGGAGTAATGGTTGTAGTGAAGAAGAATGCAAGAGAAACGCTTATGGTTTTGTGCGGGAGTGGGAGCTTCAGCAGCGGCAGGCTTCCGAGGGACATTGTGGTTTCATGTTTGGCACGACAGTGTACTGTGAGACAAAGAGGGACAGAGAGGGAGGGCGGGGACATTTGTAGTTTGAATGGTCTCTTTGAATTTCTCGGCGGCACGGTGGTTTGAATTTTTAATTCGAGTTAAAATATAATTTTATGTAAAAAAAATTTATTGTAATAAAAGAAATTATATGTGATTATTTTTAAAAGTTTTTTATTATAATAAAATTTAAATCAGTGAAATAAACGGAACCTTAGTGGTTAAAAAGAAAAATAATTCCCAACCCTCGAATTGTTTTTTCTACATTTTTTTTTCCCAATGGCATCTTATTTTCTTTAAAATACCTTAAAGAAATATGAAGTATTAGTAAAAATATTACCTTTTTTTTTCCTTTATCATGCCGATGTCAAAAGTATCTAATTTGTCTTTTGAAAGAGCTTCAAATATTCTCTCGTTTGGTTGGGTGGAAAAGAAAAAAATAAAATAAAATGAAATTTAAATATGATGTTTGGTTGGATTTATAAAAAAAATAATTATTCAAAAAGAATGGTCATTCACCTATTTTAGGTGAATCATCATTCATTCTTCGTATAAAAGGAATGGCTATTCCAAACTCTTTTCTTCTTTTTTTTTCTATAATTACCCTTGAAAATTATAATATAATTACAACATATTATATAGTAGTTATATCTTATAATATGTAATATAATTTAATATAATATAATATATAATACAATATTATGATACAATATAATATAATTTATAATTTAGTTATGAATTATAATATATTTATTTAATTTTTTATAATATATAATATATTATAATGTAATTATATATTATAATATAATATATAAAAATATTATAATATAATATATATATAATATAATAATACAATAATAT